AGCACAGTAGCATTTAACTCCTATTACTTTTAATAGTAGCCCATCCAAGAACCACACAGGCTCAAGCCTGCTTAGCTCTCGAGATCTCACGAGATCTGGCGCGTTCTGGGTGATGTGGTCATAAGGCACCGTGACACAAATAGACGTTGTTGGAACCGTTGGACAACAACGTTGGCCCAACGTTCCAATGCTTACTTGGGCAATAATCGTGCGTGATGCCGAGCACGTGTTTACCACGGACCGGATACTCGAAGACGTAATGCAGGCCGTTCTATGTCACGGGACAGGGAAAAAAAAGAGCGACTGAGTCAGAGGAAGTCGATGTTGGGTGTTTTCTCAAGGGGAGTGCGGCACACGTGTGCTTACTGGAAACTGGTCTGGAGGGCATGAAGTTCAACCTCAGTCATGGTTATCTCAGCCCCAAGGGACTGGACAAATGACAAAAAACACAATCGTCAAACAGCACTGGCCCGACATAGAATAAGTATAACCCGTAAAAACAAAGTTTTTCACTATAAATCCTTTATATGCGTGGCGGCTAGAGTCCTCTCGTCCTCTGGCTTGAGATGGCTGCCACCTATGGGTCAGATGATTGCATTGCACCATTAAGAAATTGGTAATTAAATATAATATTATTGTCCTAAAAAGTGTAAAATTTTGGAAAAAAATTTTCACGAACATTAATTGTCACGCACAACGAGTCTGTGTGGGAAATGTTAGCTCGATTGGATCACGGGAAGTGGGTTAAAAAACGACCGAAAGATTTGCACGGTCCTAAGCAAGCAAGCGAACTTAATATAAAGGATTTAAAAATAGTTATATAGCGGGCGACGATTACGGGCAATGGTGCTTGATCTTCTTATTTAGTTTGCATCATCAAAATCATGAAGACGAAGAAGAAGAGCCGTTAAGCTGAAACATTAATTACGTGCGTGGCCTACCTCCCCCCCCCACCGAAAAATACTATTACCCGAATGAATGAACCGGTGTTCGGGAATGCAATTGAGACTCACTACAGCAGCACCCCCCAGTGGAATGGTTGCGTGTGTGATTGAGTCATCACCACCACGGCAGTGGTGGGTGATGATGTTAAATCAGCCACCACCCCAACACGGCCAATTCGTAGCAAAGCTGTCAATCCTTACGGGTTACCCCTCTATTCTTGTACAGGGAAATTGAGTATTCATGTCCATACGGCGTCGAGCCGTTTCAATACGGGCAAAAAATGTATTTGTGTTTCTCCCTTGTGATGGGACTTTGTAGGATGAACGTTGAGATTTATATCTTGACTAGCTGTACTACCCGGCTTCGCCCGGGACTTGTATCCACCACGGCCGGCCGCCTTTGTCTCCCCAGTGGCGATGTTAATACGCTACAGCAGTTACTCGTTTGAGGCAGAGTCGACCTAGGGGAGGTTCAAATAATCGTCACCGGTGGTGGCCGTGAGCGGGAATGGAACTGGGTTCGCCGGGTTGGTAGCGCAGCGTAGCGTTAAGCACTACACCCACCGCTCCTCACACACCACACACGCACAGACACACACACAGACACACAGACACACGCAGACACACACAGGCAGAGACACACACACACAGACAGCACGCTAACCACTACACTACCGCTCCCCACACACCACACACGCACACACACAGACACACACACAGACACACACACACAGACACACACACACAGACACAGGCAGCACGCTAAGCACTACACTACCGTTCCCCCTACACAACACACGCGCGCGCGTCCATAGGTACACGTACACGCGCTTGCCGCAGACACACACGACTTTCATGGTGCGTACGGCAGTAAACGACTGAAATAATAAAGCGGCAAAGCTGCGCAAGGAACGCCTTAGATCTGCAACACATTTGTGTAATGCGAGCGTAAAGACACAAACTCATACAAACACATACACAATACACACACACATACATGCAGACACACAGACAGACACATAACACACATACATACACACACATACATACACAGAAATACATACACACACATACATAGACACACACATACATACACCCAAGCACATGCATACACGTACATACACACATACATATAGACACGCAGACATACTCATAAAGACATAGAAAAAAACCCACATACATACACACACACACAAACACATACACATACATACACACATACATACAGACACACAGAGATACACATAAACATATACACACATACACAAAAGACCCGGCTTCGCCCGGGACTTGGATCCACGATGCCCGGCCGCCTTTGTCTCCCCAGTGACGATGTTCACACACGACAGCAGTTACGCGTTTGAGGCTGAGTGGACCTAGGGGAGGGCCAGGTCCGTTTCAAATAATCGTCAGCGGTGGTGGGCGTGAGTTGGAATCGAACTGGGGTCGCTCAACCAGCTTAATGACTATTTGTACAAAGAACATATAAAGAATCGATTATAATAACCAGGCTACAGTCCACATTATAGACTGCCAGTACACGCAGTCAGCTTCATAAGCAGGCTAGAGTGTACATGATAGAGTGGCAGTACGCTCACCGAGCTTAATAATCAGGCTACAGTCTACATGATAGACTGGCAGTACGCTGACCCAGCTTAATGACTATTTGTACAGTGAACATTTAAGTAATCGATTGTTGGTGCGTTGGGTTTAAAAGTAATATTAATTGCACACATTGTGGTGGGGGTGGAGTGAAGAGTAGGATAAACTTTGATGAATTTACCTCAGAGTGGCGTGGTGGGTGTCGAGGCCTAGTAGCGTGCAGAGCCTGCGGCCTCGCCTAAATTGTCCACCCGGCAGAGGCAGGGTATGGGTGGCGTGCCTTCCCCCCCCCCCCCTCAGCGCGCCAACAACACTGTGTAATGGCTATTATTTAATTATTTACGGAGCCTATGAAAGTGGCGAAGGCGTGGCTAGCCGTTGGCAGGGGCAACCGCCGTCCAATGAAACTGCAGCCCTTGGCGAAGGCGTCGCTAGCCGTTGCCAGGTCCAATGAAAGCGGCGAAGGCGTCGCTATCCGTTGCCAGGGGCAACCGCCGTCCAATGAAAGTGCGTATGGTCCGAAATCCACACACACACACACAGACGGACAGACAGACATGCACGATTTTATATATATAGATACAGCAAATCTGGCTGTGACGGTCTCACCTGATGACGGAGACTTGTGTTGCCTCCGAAACGTCGTGATTTATTATTATTATTTTTTTTTATTTTAATTTCAATTTTTTACATACGTGACTTTACCGAAAAAACTAAGACTATGAATCCTTGCAGTCACGAAAGCTTAAAATCTAGAATTTATAAGGGACACGGGGTGACCAATAAGGTCCTCAATTGGTCTGTAATAAGGTCGGGCACTGATAAGAGGTTGACAGGTATGTAGTGAGGTTTGTCACGTAAATAAAACATGCCCCATTCGTTACTAGCACAGCACACCGGTTGTGTGTTGGAGAGCAAAAACCCACTGCAACGTTTACAATTGGGGTACTGTGGCTTTTCGCCGGTAATTACAACAGCCAGCATCATCAGGCGGACACCCAGAGTGGTGGAGAAATCCTCTTCCTGTTTCGGTCTTAAATAGAGTGATGTCTACACTTGTGAGGCAATCCGTTGCGAAGGCCTTAGGCTGAGGTTAATGTTTGCATATACACAGTGCCGGATTGAGCTAGTGCGTGGCCTGTAAATAAAAAAACACTTAAATATTAAAACACGTAATTTTTACTTGCGTAGTAAAGTTATTGTATTTTTTCATTTGCTATTACAGCCAGATAATACGACAAATCGCTAACCTGAAACATCCAGTCGTTCGTAAACGTTGAAGGCGGTATAGTACTATAGTAATAGAGCAAGTGCAGAATGACTGAACCGGAATTGATAGCTTGAAAGCATTTAGCGCGGGGCCCTTGAAAGTGCGGGGTCCGTAGCGACTACATATGTACTACATATGTAGTAGCTACTACATATGCAGCTTCTTTGGCTACTAGGGTAATTATCCGGCAATGCATATACATTACAACTGATACACATTACTGGTAATTCATAGGGTAATCAACACACATATTGCATGCACAGTATGCACGTACAAAATATATTGCACAGCGTGCAATATATTTACGCGATCTAACGAGAAACAACAAAAAAACCTCTCTTATCATGAACAATTCAAATTTCGAGGAAATAATAAAATAATAATTTAACAATGCTGTGGTTTTCACACCTGCTGATGATTGCTTGTGTTGCAATCGAAACGTCGTGATAATTTTATTGTTTTATTTTTGATTATTTCCTTTCTACGTGACTTTACCGAAAGAACCAAGAATATGAACAATTTAAACACATTCCTGCGGAGGGAGCTGGTAGTAACGTTGAGTTGCTCGGTCAATGGCCAGGGTCAACGACGACGTGGTGTATTCCGCAAATATGCCCGACTGTGAGGGCGGGCACAAGCCGGCGTGAGTAGGTTAAACGTTGAGTTTTATAAGGACACCACGGGGTGACCAGCCCCTCCCCACCCAGCCCCTCCCCACCCTCCCCCCACCCAGCCCCACCCTCCCCACCCAGCCCCTCCCCACCCTCCCACCCTCCCCACCCAGCACCTCCCCACCCTCCCCTCCCCACCCAGCACCTCCCCACCCACCCTCCCCACCCAGCCCCTCCCCACCCTACCCACCCAGCCCCTCCCCATCCAGCCCCTCCCCACCCTCCTCTCCCAGCCCCTCATCCCTCCTCACCAGCCCCTCCCCACCCTCCCCTCTCCACCCAGCCCCACCCCTCCCATTTTTGGGATTCACGACGAACGGACACAACAATCCCCTGTGGGCTAGTGTAACCAGGAGGTTCCTACCAGTATATCAATATAATATCGGTGGCGAATTCCCTGCCACGTGTCAATCTGGTGGGCGGTGACGTTGGATGCCCCGCCTCCTCTGGCTCCTCCCCCCGGCCACGTGACGCTGCTCTGCGTTGGAATGAGAGTGGGTGGTGCTGCACCCCCCCCCCCCCGCTCCAGAACCACCATCATCATCAGCAGCAGAGAGCAGCAGTATCATCAGCATCATCAGCAGCAGCAGCGGTCGTGTAGTGTCTTGAAGGAGAGACGAAGACTCGTGCCGTCATGTTTCGCTTAATGTTCACGCAGGCCAAGAAACACCCAGCCGTGAGTAATGGGCGCACGCGGCTTGACACGTTGACATTTGGGGGGCCACTTTGGAGGACAGACGACGGTCAAATGGTCATCGTCTGCTGCTGTTGTTGCTGTTGTTGTTGTTGCTGTTGTTGTTGCTGTTGTTGCTGTTGTTGTTGTTGGGGACGATGATGGCACGGCGTGCAATGCCGACGTAGATACGAGGTCCGAAAGCCACGGGATAGATGCGTTGACTGCGTTGCAGGCGGATGGAGAGAGTGGGGCACAGTCGAATGACATTCCAATAGACATTCTCGTATGTACGTAGAGATACACGGGCAGATGGACACGCAGGCGTAACAATACAGACATGATACACACACACACACGTAGACAATACTCTACAGAGGACTAAGGCTTGCTTGCATACAGAGACAAGGACGAACAGGCGTAACAATACGGTGACATACGACAAAGACACATTTAGACCTACAAGGGCAAACGAAGACATATCCTTCGGGGAGACGACGAGACGGACAGACAGACATGCAGGCATACCAATGGATGTTACATAGACATGTACAGATGAGGTTATAGGCGTATACCGAGTAGAACATATTGTACTGTAACGTCGTGACACATGCGCGTGGACACACAATGCAATTAAAAGCAAACACACACTCACACAAAGACACAAAGCCACACCAAAGACACACAAAGATAGACACACACAAAGACACACACAAAGACACATACACACAGACACATACACACAGACACACACACATACACATAGACACACACAAAGACAGACACAAAGACACACAAAGACACAAACACACACACAAGACACACAAAGACACACCAAAGATACACACACACATACACACAAAGACACATACACACACAGACACATACACACAGACACATACACACAGACACAAAGACACACCAAAGACACACAAAGATAGACACATACACACAGACACATACACACAGACACACACAAACAGACACAAAGACACACAAGGACACAGACACACACACAAAGACACACACAGACACACACAGACACACACAAAGACACACACAAAGACACACACACAAAGACACACACACAAAGACACACACACAAATACACGGCAAACCACACAAAGACAACGTCTGCGTCTAACGCTGGTTGGGCCTTTGTGTGCACACACGCAACTCTTGATATCGACTCACACTGGTTACAAAGACACACACGTGTACAGACACACGGATATACAAAGACACAGAAACAAAGACGCGTAGGCAAAGGCAGCCAGACAGGGACACATTTATACAGACGGGGTTAAAAAAAGGAGTTTAAAAATTAAGCAATAATAGAATTAAAACCTTGGAATTATTCGCCCTTGTCAGGGCTGAGCCTGAGGCCTACTCAGAGGTCATTCAACTTCACGAGGGGGGGAATTGGTGCGGTCGATGGCACGCATCGCGTCTCTCTCTCTCTCTCTGGTGATCGACTTGCCGCCGGTTTAATGTTCGATCAAATGTGTTGCTTCTTTAATCGATGCAACGGTGATCATCGATAGCTTCGATTCCGACGCTCCTGACCGCGTGTTTGATGTTGGAGCGCGCCTAAAGATGGGTGGGCATCTCCCTCCCCTCGTGTACACGTGCGTTGTCTTGAATTCCTCGTCAACATAATCGATAATCGTTACGTCTTAATGATTCCTGGTTGACTTGATCTATATTTGAAACAAACAAGCCATTTGAGGGAGCGGTGTTTCGTAAGCGTGTTACGTCGGTGGCACCTAGCCTGGCACCGGCCGATGCGCTTAAGGAGTCGTTTGTGATCCAGTGCCAACATAATCGATATCTCTGAATAATTGGGGTTTCATTTCAGAGGCTGTATCAGGGAGGGTGGTGTTGATGAGGGGGAGAAGAGAAGGAGGAGAGAGGAGAGGCCCCATTTTGCCTCGGCCATCAATACCCCCGCAGTGCGCTGCTGCTGCTGCTGAGCCTTGTGGTATTCACAGAGAGGAGGGCACTTTGTGCCAGGGAAGACGCCCTCTTGTGGATGTCCTTGGCACAGCAGAGATGTCTCTCTCTCTGTGTGTATGCTCTTGATCGAATGTAATGCTCGAAGGGCACCCGCCAGCGAATGAATGTTCGCGGGTGTGTCCGCCGTTCAAATCGGGAGTCAGAAGCCAATTGTTGTCCGGGAATTGTGAACCGGGTTTTTGCAGTTTGTGGGTTTTTTTTTTTGATGGGCGATGGCGTTTGTATATCTGGATTTGTCTGGTCCGTGGTTTGTCTCGTGTGTCTGGTCCTCTGTCTTTATTGTGCTTAGTAGTAGTAGGTTTTTACCCTTTTATCTGGTACAAAACTGACACCTTTATACAAGGGATCATGTTTGCAATAACCACAACACAAACAGTCAAAATGCAAACAAAAAGAAACAACTCTGATGATGATAATGATATGCACTGTCCTTGAAGTTGATTGGTCCACACCCGAGACAGCTTTTCTTGGAGCCTAGTCTCCATTGGTGTTGGACCAGATGACGCCAAAAGGCTTGTTTACACGGGAACGCCTTGCTGTGTGTGAGTCTCATGGCCGTTTTCATGAGGATCCTGGCGAGTTTTTTTTTTTTACAGGAGGGGGGTGATCATTCTGTATTCCAATAGATACATTTGTCGGTAATATTTTAAATTCGGCAAGTGTGGACCCGTGACGCGGCCACACAGCGAGTGGGACTACTGCTGGAGAATGACTTTGGATGATCTTTACTGTCCACTGTGGTGATGCAGGTGGCGCATACACATGTATGGCCAATCGGGGCACCCGCACTATAAATCAAGGGCAGCCCGCTGGATTTGCCAACTGGAACAGAACGTTGCCCTGACTTAACTGAAACCACATGGTCGACATGTTTTACACCATCGTTCCGAACAATTAAGTGTACTTTGCAGATGTGCTCTGTGTTTACTCGGAACTGATATTGAAAGTTGAGTCTGCCGCCTGTCAAATTCTTCCAAAAACTACGTAAAATTGCGCGATTGAATATCTCCAGATGAAAAAAATAATGGGTAAGGTTTGAACAGTGACGTAGTTAAAAATGTTCATCATGACTCGGTCCGCTGCTTGATGAATGCCTCCCCAAGTCGTCACAAACCCTCGTGGTCTCGTCGGCTGATCCCATCGCTCCATTTCTGCCGTGCAAGTTCTGTCAGCTGTGAGCTCTCTCCTTTGGCTGCCACTTTGTCTTTCATCTCAACTACCAGCCAGAAGAACCCACTTTTTAAATCCTTTATATTAAGTTCACTTGCGCGCTTGCTTGCTTGCTTACGACCGTGCAAATCTTTCAGTCGTTTTTTAACCCACTTCCCGTGATCCAATCGAGCTGACATTTTCCACACAGACTCGTTGTGCGTGACAATTAATGTTCGTGAAAAATTTTACACTTTTTAGGACAAAAATATTATATTTAATTACCAATTGCTTAATGGTGCCATGCAATCATCTGACCCATAGGTGGCAGCCATCTCAAGCCAGAAGACGAGACGACTCTAGCCGCCACGCATATAAAGGATTTATAGTGAAAAACTTAGTTTTTATGGGTTATACTTGTTATCGATGTATCCTACCCAAGCCCACTTAAATTTCTTGAGTCAATAATATGATGCAAACTTTCGTTTCTTTCTCCGATCCACGTGTTCCTCTTACTGTGTCTCTCGAGTGAAGTTTCCCGCATGCATGTTTCCAAATCGTTTTGTAAATCCAAACTGTTGCATGGTGGTCTTTGTTAATGATGAAGGCTTGAAGGAATGTCCAGCCTTGCTTCGCCCCAAAGCCCCTTTATGGTGTCGAATGGCCAGAACGCGAGTCAACACCCAAGGAAACGTAAACAGCTTGAAGTGCATTGTCAAGTTCCAAGGTTACATTGCCTCTGTTTTTTTGCCGGCTGTTCGGAAATCTGCCCTTATTTGTAAAAAGTAGTTGCAGTACCGTGCTTGGCGAGGCTTTTAGACATCATCGCCAACCTTTCCGTGGAACAGTTGCACGGCGATTGCTTTTTCAGTGATGTGTTAAATCGGAGCTAAATGTGGTTGACAACGTAGCGGAAGAATACTTTCAGAATTTTAATAATGAAGCTGAGAGGATTCAAAATCAATCCGTATGATGTGACCGGGTAGCTCAGAAGCAAGAGCACTGAGCTGATAAATAAATAAAAAATAATAATAGAAATAAAATAATAAATCAAGACGTTTCGGAGGCAACACAAGTCTCCGTCATCAGGTGGGACCGTCACAGCTAAATTTACTGTATCAAGTGGTTAACGTTCTCAATCGTAACGATTGTTGCAAAACCGTGGTTGCTCATACAGATGGGAAAATTACACGTGAGAATGTAGCTTAAGAGCTTAGCAGATGGACCATGGCTGACGATGAATTTTAGTTAAGTTTCAAGGTAATAAAAAACACTACTTTGGGATTTGTCACTGTAATAATGGCACAGGTTGACATTGGTAATGGCTGGCATTTGAAAACATTTTTACCTCACTTTTTTTCTACAATTGATAAACAATCTTACTTTTGTCCTTTATTAACTTTGTAACCAAGTAAGAAACCATTCAGAAAAGATTATCTCGAGCAAGGGAGACAAGGTTAATATAAAAGTATGTACTGCAATTGTAACATTGGCATTTACCCACATTGCAATGCAAGCTGCGTGCATGTAGATGAAATGTGAACTCTCAAGGATTTATCGCTGGTAACATTCGCCATTTGTTTTATCTTTTCATGCTTTTGTGGGCTTTATCTCCGTTATCTTGACATTGTGGTCTTAGGGCTGCAACTGAAGACTGTTATGGCAGGAGTATCCCCCCCCCCACCGCCGTTTGTCTACCCAGCAGTAATAATGGGTACATCACAGTCAGTCGGTGAAGGCTGCCCTGATGAACTTGAATTTGACTGACTGCACTATGAACCCTGTTTGACCCGAGTTTGATTCCCGGCCATAGCAAACATCAGTGGTGAGTGATATCTACACTAGCCCTGGACCTTCCTGAACCAACCCGCACTGACCATCGTGAAGTGTGCTCAAACAGCCCCAATGACCGATACTGTATGGCGAGGCCTTCATTCAGCAGTGGATTGACAGGGCGCTTTGAATTGATTCTTGATTAGTAATTTATATTAACTTATTGTAACTACCAATGACAATGACTACGTTGTAAAGTGGAGCACAAGATAAAATGAGCAAACCAAAAGTAGATTACAGCAAGTTGAGCAAACAAATGATTATTTCCACGTGATTATTGCAGTCACTCAAGGCATTACCATTCAACAAATATATAAATAACATATATTCCAAAATTGTGATGTGACCTTGAATCACGACAATTGGTTGAATCTCCAGGGCGTGTGAATCCTGGACTGTCAAATCCACTGGCTGCACATCTCTATGACCATACCATGCGTTTATAACACCAAATGGCTCAATAAACCGAGCCAGTAAAAGTGTAGCCAGCTTTGCACCGTTATTGTAGGTGAATGTTTACATTTGTGCTTTCCCTGGGTGTATAATGATTATCTGTTTACAATAAACTAAATGGGGGGCCGTTCAGAGGCGATTTGTAACATGGTTATGCTGGATAACCAGATTGCTTTACAGGGCAGCAGGCAATAATATCCAATTATGAGAGACGTATTGCCACAGTTTGACAGCTGCAAGTGCCAGTTACATTCAGGGTAATTCTGGCGAGAAGAGAGGACTGGCCTGTCATGGTTTTTGTCTCGGAACACAGTTATGGCAAGAAAGGGACAAATAATCGAGATAACACCTGTTTGTTTACAAAATGAAACGCATTTTAGCATGATAATGCGTTGGCAGCGTTGCATAAGCATACTGACAAATTGGTCAATATACATTTTTCCTTTTGTGGCAGTGGTACTGGTGAATGTAAGTTTCTCTTGGTTTACAGACTTTAGTGATGTGCTTTTAAAATTGTTGTCAGTTGTACTTTTCATAAAACACGAATCAATTATCATGCAATGGTTTGCCGAACACCCACTTTGTGATTGCTGTTATTAATCGTCACGATTCTGAGGGGGGCATGAGGGGGAAATGTTTAAAACTAAAGAATGTATTATTTGCCGTGTTTGGTCATGCTGGTTGTTTCACTGCACTACATGTTACTGGTGAAGGTGGGGGGGGGGGTGTAGGATCGAGTCGGACTGATATCACTCGTCACCGATGTTAGCCGTGGCCGGGAATAAGACTTTGAACTCGGGTCGCTGGCGTTCATACCGCAAGTGTGCCGACGACTTTGTCACACAAGATTGAACGGAGGGGAACTTGTTGTCCCTCTGCCCATGCATGTGTTATCTCTGCAGCTGATCCCGCTGTTCGGCTTCCTTGGCCTGGGCATGGCGATGGCTGGCACGTACACCATGCGGCTGGCCCTGTTCAACCCCGACGTCAGGTTTGTGCTCAACCCACCAGCCACCACCAGCTTGCAACAGCTACCCATACACCACCACGCACCAGCCACCACCAGCTTGCAACAGCTATGCCAACGTCACGTGCCAGCCACCACCAACTTGAAACAGCTGCGCATGCATCACGCGCTAGCTACCACGAGGTTGAAACACAGCTGCATGCTAGGTTTAAGTTTGGTCTTCAGGGTTGGGGTATGTGTTGAGCGGCAGAGTTTCATAGTGGCTAAGACTTGTGCCGGACAGCAAGAAGGACCTGTGTTCGATTCCTGACTTGGGTGCCTCTCTGTGTTGAGTTAGTATGGTCTCCCCCTGTTTTACATGGCTTTCATTCGGGTTCTGCGGTTTCCTCCCATAGTTAAAACCATACACGTGCCTTAACCCTGAAGACCACGCTTGGTTTCCGAGTGGCTTGGAAAAAACCTACGTGCTAAATTATGTTTCGCAATGAGATAGCTGCTGTAAATTTTCACAATTCGATAAGGCATCGAATTTCATGATATGAAGTTCATCGCTATATCAGGACAACACCCTCGATGGATTTTGCCGCATTGCCGTCCCCTGTTCCACTGCATAACCCCATGCAGTTATAGACTCGGTCCGTTGCTTTTCAAATGCCGTTCGAAAGAAGTGATGGTGCTCGCGCGATGCAGGGACCTATTTTGCCGTAGGGTTGCTCTGATTGATGCCGGTACGGGGAGACCCGCAGCTCTAAGATGATAGCTGTGTGCAAGATAAGTTTGCTTTGAAACTGGTCTGTGTTATCGTAGGCAGACTGTTCAATATATCTGAGCACTTGACATCGTGTGCCCCTTGGGTAGTACAACATGTACCAGGGGGGGAGCCCTTTTGTCAGTCCACGACTGGATGAGGGCCTCCCCACGTCAGGCGGGTTTGTTCGGGGTTATTTTTAAATCCTTTATATTAAGTTCGCTTGCTTGCTTGCTTGCGCGCTTACGACCGTGCAAATCTTTCGGTCGTTTTTTAACCCACTTCCCGTGATCCAATCGAGCTGACATTTTGCACACAGACTCGTTGTGCGTGACAATTTTTTCCCAAAATTTTCCACTTTTTAGGAAAACAAAATATTTCACTAACACAATCATATATTTTTCCTAAACACAGAAATTATTCACGAAAACAACAAAAATGTACAATATAAACAATCATACAAAAACTGAAAACCTTATAATCCTTATATACGACTTTACTTATATTTAATTTAAAATACCAATGTGATAAAAATGAAACTCTTACTCAAGAAAAACAGAAATGAATAATAAAATAAAACCGATGCCACGCATATAAAGGATTTATAGTGAACAACTTTGTTTTCACGGGTTAATTTTTTTACAAACGTCAAGATGCCATCATGGACAAAGCCGGTGATGCCACTCTTTGACAACATTCCACACCACATTGGTCAGTGCTGGCTGTTGGGAGGTGGGGAGTGTGAATATGGGGTCAACATAGCACAGTATAAGCATGGATTTTGCTACACTGCCCCACAAGCTCCAAAACAATCTCTCTTTTTTCGTACGCCATTTGAAAACCACTTGCAACGTATTGTGATCGTACACCCGAGTTCGGTCAGCCATTTGATGGGGTCACGAGTTGCTTGCTGTGTAGCATCCCTGCCTCCTGTGTAAGCGTATGATGGGCAGTGGGGTCCGCTATTTGATGGAACAGATGGGCAATTCACCACATTCGCAAAAAGGGAGGACGACTCTTTACATTTTCCGCGTTGAAGGATCTAGCCACATGCTGCCAGCATGTTGTTTGGGATCCGATTTAAGTGCGGGCCCATTGTCCTATTGAAAGTGTCGCCAACCTGTTTGTGTATTTTAACACGTTTGCTTTCGTGACCAATATTCATAATACAGGTTATATATTTTTTGGGTTAGATCACGTAAATATATAAATGTGTCGTTAAACCCGCCACCACCCGACGCAGCCAATTAGTAAGGTTTGTCACGTAAACGGAGCGTGCCAATTCGTCACTAGTACAGCACTAACCGGTGTGTTGAAGAGCCAAGCCACAACATTTGCAATCAAGAGTACGACGTTTCACCAGTAATTACAACAAGCTTCATCATGTGACAACCAGATGTTTGTGCATGTTGGTCACACCATCAAGATCTAAAGGAACCCCCATGCCCAAGGCTAAAATTCGTGAAACCGTTCTGGATACGCGCCTATGCTCTAGCAGCCGAAAATGAAAGACATCGCCACTCAGTGGTCTGAATCATGGACGGCTATGGACGTGGCAAACAAAAACATAATTCACGATCCGACGGTGGAAGTACCTGGGATTCTCTCTTCCATGACAAATATGGACCACGCTGAACTGCGCTCGAACACGACACGGCAGATGCGCGTACACGTTACGTAAATGGAAGATCAAAGAATCGCCCGACTGCGATTGTGGAGAAGTCCAAACCATCAAGCACATCACCGATGAATGCTCCATCCAGTGCAGCATCCTGGCGGTATTGCTGAAATCCACACTGCGTCAACCACATCATTGGACTGGATGAGGAACCTTTGCATTTATTTACGACGATTAGTAAGAAAAAAGAATAAAATTGCTTTTCACAATGCCTTGTGAAACAAGAAGAAAACCGATCAACTATCCAGGGGGTCAACCCTGCTTGGCTTTAGAGGTCTGACTGGCATCGGGCGTTTTGATTTTTGGTCATGAGGTGTTGGGGGGAGAATTACGACCAGGAGGAATTCGGCAGGTGATGTGTTTCTTTGGAGATGCATTACAAGTGTGGGCCATTTGCATCTTAGGAATCCTGCTTGAGGACAAACCGGTTCCCAGTGGACAGCCCTGATCTGGTTGAATCTTGTTTACCATTGTTTGTATTTGCTGGGCAAAAATGGTAAAGAAAAGAAAAATGCAATGGGTGCTTAATGCGGCTAATTCACTCATGCTTCACATTTGGTGTAAATAGCAGCGTTATTGTGCAGTCCTTCACCGGCACCTCGTAATTAACCTCATGGAAAGGTCATTGCTGTTCCCAAAATGCAACTGATATATTGGTTAATTCTGAAAAATGAGCTGAACAGCTGTTATGCTGTTGAACCAAAGTTATTTTTTTTAAACTAAAGTTCCATTTCCACTGATGCTTTAATCATTCTCAAATTTCGTTGCAAATGAAATCATGCTGGAAAAATAACAGTAGCGGCAGCAGCAGAAGAAGACTTAATTCAACTCTTGAGCTGGAACACGATATGCGTTATCGACTGACATTTTACAGAGCCAAACCCACTATGTCCTTTCTCAGGCTTATTGTAAACTAATCTGGGTACATTTGCCAGTTGCTGATATGCAATGTTTGGTAGGTTTCATGTTTCGCAGCTTGACCCATTCATTAGGGTGTCTTGTGGTCGGTGGCTGGGTGTCCAAGGTCAGAGCTCTGAGAAGGCACCTCTGAGTTCCTAAGTTCAGATCCAGCCGGCCGCATGTGATTATAACCGGGTTCTCAGGTGTAGCAAGGTGATTGTCAGACCAATCGCCAATAACTGCAAAAAAAATCCATCTAAGTTGGTTCAATTAATTTGGATAAACACCAGCTATGATAATTACAAATACAACTGACTGTTTAAAGCTTTCGTGACTGCAGGGATTCATCTTCTTGGTTCTTTCGGTAAAGTCACGTAGAAGGGAAATAATAAAATAATAAAAATAAAACATAATAAAATACAATTCTCACTGGTGAGAAAAAATAATAAAAATAAAACATAATAAAATACAATTCTCACCAGTGAGAATTGTATTTGATTATGTTTTATTTTTATTATTTCCCTTCTACGTGACTTTACCGAAAGAACCAAGAAGACAACTGACTGTCTTGTAACGAACATTACTCTGTGGTTGGGCAGGTGTCTCCTGCTTTGTGAACCAGAGGCTCACTTGAATGGATCTCAGAGGTAGCTCTACAGTGTCCGCTTCTGCAGGCCGTTTTTAAACATGAATGGATCCACTGCTGTGTGAGAGATCCACAGTGATTTTGTCTCTTTCCATTGCAGAATATTTTTGTTTAAGGTGTATGGCCTTTTTTGCGTGCCTGCAACTGTTGTCTCGGAGGAAATTTGGGACCCATGTGTACAACTGAAACCGCTCGAGTATGTAATCCGACTAAATTAAGCGCATGCGCGCTCAGTGCGTGTTGCGCTTGTGCTGATCACGCGATTCTGTCCCCGCAGCTGGGACCGCAAGAACAACCCCGAGCCCTGGAATAAACTGGGACCCACCGACCAGTACAAGGTGAGGCACGGCACACCATACCGGCCCACTGATCAGCATGACCAGTGGCGTCATCATGCGTTCCTAGTTTCGCCTCCTTGTGGGGGCTCCTGTGCTAGTGCGAGATGGGTATCGCGTGACATGTTTTGCAACGCTGTAGACTATTTCGGTGACCCGCGCGCTCGATGCGACATTGTTGTTTGTGGGCGAGGGCTCACGGTTTATTGGCAACAAAATAAATCATCATGCGTCCATTCCATCGATGCAAAGACAGGAATCATGTGACCAGGGGCCCGTGTGATTTTGATGGAAACGCTCATCCAAATAACATCTGGCAACACAGCAGTATTTGCATAACATGCTGGTGAGGTCCAAAAGGTTGAAGCAAGTCTAGATGTGTTCTTGTTTTAAACATGCTGTTGGATATAATTGGTCTGAAAGCCTGTACATACGTATTTTATGTGTTTGTGGCAAAGATGGAATGCAAGTCCGTTTTTAACGATGCATGTGGTTTTTAAAATTGCCTACTATAATCACCCAGAAATGTCTGTCCGTCCCACGCGTGACGTCACTCCACATGAGGCCCACACCCCCTCATCAATATTCATGACTGGGTGGATTTTTACACTTAACGCAGAGGAAGGTTGAGCTGAATTAAATAATTGATTACGCAAAGTCTCTTCAAATATGACGTTTCTTTGCAGAAAATGAATCTACGCAGCACAGTGCTGAATCCGTGCGTGACGTCACTGCAAAAGAGCCCCCCCCCCTTTCATGAATATTCATGCCCGCATGGAAATTTCCACTAACGCACAAGAAGGTCGCGAACTCCACATGCCGCACCCCTCCGCTCATTAATAATCATGAGCGGGTGACGTCACTCCACATGCCGCACCCCTCCGCTCATTAATAATCATGAGCGGGTGACGTCACTCCACATGGGGCAACTCCCCCTCATTAATAATCATGAGCTGAATAATTTTTATATTTTTCTAGATTTACTGCAATCTACACCCGTCCTTGGACGGGCAATAAAGCTGGTTTATGATAATAGTCCGTATGCTTTCTACATTAGCTTGCAGATTCCTACCCTACCCAACCTGCCCGACCTCCCTCCCTATCCCCTACAGCTGATAGATATTTGATCAAAATTAATTTGACCACAACATTTGCTTATCTACTGAATGTTGCACAGGATATTGAACATCTCCCCGGGTCCAACATTAGTAAACTAACACAGCCTTCTCTCACTGTAAATATAGTTTAAAACAAAACTAAGTGTTTTACCTTGCCGATTATAATTGTATTTAATGAAGTTTTCTCGCCCCCCCCCTCCTCCCTTGTTTCCCCAGTTTATGGCTGTCAACATCGACTACAGCAAGCTGAAGAAGGATCGCCCAGACTTCTAAAGCAATATGTGATACAGGCTCAGCACTTGGGGCATATAATTGGAATTTAGATGATTTGCGCTTTATTTAAGTATCTGGCTGTCATTCTCTCACACTCTTTGACTGCCACCTGACCGCAACACCACATCTTTTGTGGTATATTTTATTATTTTATTTCAAATTATTTCAAGGGTGTGGGGGTTGGGGATGTAAGTCGATTTAATCTTTCAAAGTTCGGTACAGAATTCATCTTGCACCTGGTGCACCTTTCTCTCTTGATTTCATTCATCACCACCGCTCTTTCTTCTCCCTTAATCTTGCTCCATATTGCTCTAATCAATTCCCAATTTGAGCACCGTATCCTTATTCTTAAACTTGTTCCAAATTGTTGGAAGGAAGCAAAATCCGCACAAATCCCTTCCTTATGTTGAAAAAGCCCAGTGTTGTTTTACAAATGTTTCTGAAACGTTTGGAGGAAGCAGACCCGCACAGTTGTATTGCTTTGAACGTTGCCATCGAAGGGCACCAGATTTTGTTTGTTTTTTTTCCCTTTCCCCGCTGTAGATTTTAAAGGCTGTGGAGTACACTTGAGTTATTGCTACGGCCCAGTGCTCAGCTTGATTTGTGAGCTGTAATGTTTGCCCCATGGCCTCTTGAAACCATGTTTGGGCTCCTAAAGCATTTCAGCTGTATGCTAACCTTGATGCCCTAATAAACGCCTGTTTAACTGGAACATATTTCTTGCAGAGTCTTATTTCTTGGAGTGCCACGGTGGCAGGATGTTAACTACCCTCGCCTGGTATGCAGGAGGTCGCGCGCTCAATTCCAACCCTGACACCTGTATATTTCAAAATTTTGAATATTCCCCCCCCCGTGGTTGCGTGGCTTTTCTCCGGATCCTTCAGTTTCACCCTCCACATTTAGAAATGTGCTTTTGGACTTTTTGGCTGCTCTAAATTTCCACACGGTAAGCCCCTTTGTTGACTTATAATTTGAGGCCAGGTCGCTGTGGGCCGTACCTGGTAAAATAAAGAATAGCCTGTGCACTTTGTGTGGTGTACATGTCTGGGGATCAGATTTTAAATACAATTTTACAGGTAGGAACAACAGGTTCCACACTGCCCACCAGGGATTATCTGTCGTGCATACTACAACCTCCAACGCGACTATGATATCCAACACGGATCGCACGAATGCGCTGTCCAGCCAAGTTCCTACTTGCCCACTCCAAAGGGACGTGCTTGGGTCTTGATATTTTTAGGGGTAATTCAAGATTTTTTTTTCACAGCCATTTACATTATATAGTTATTTAATGTGGCCGCCTGCAAACAAATGATGTCACCCGGTGCCACGTGACGCCACTCGGCAGGAAATGAGCCGCCGTGACTTTACCAGTGACCTTGCGTTTGGTGAGACGCCTTACCCAAACGCATCTTCCAGAAGTGCAAGGAGAAATAGGTGGGCGGTGAGGGGGAGGGGTACTGCTCTTTGTGAGAACGTGGGCTCCCTATTGGCTGGCGTGTTGAAAACTAATTTCTTAAGAACTGCACAGTTGGCTACGCACGATGTGAAAGAAGTTCAACATACAACAACAATGCAAAATTGTATATTCTTATTCAAATGTGAAAGCTGTGCTTTTCCTGCATCCGTAGCATGTGAATGCCTCAATTAAAAATGCAAACAATTTTACGTCAAATTAAAATGGAAATTGACGTGATAGTGCATAAAATTGCATGTATGAATACATTATGCAAAAGTAGAAACAACATGCCTTTGGCTATTGAAGCTGTATACATTAAACGAGAACAATTTTGAGTGTTTAAACTAAAAAAAAAGTGAATTCTCTAGTCGAATCGCAACGATTAATTAAATCGCCAGGGCACTGAACCGATAGAAGCCTTGCTTCATACTCTTTTTAGGACTCGTTTCAAAAGAACTTTCGCGCACACACACACTAAAAAAAAGACACGGGCAAAGAATAACTTTTTGTTGAACAGGTTCGTTCTCAATTTGTCCTGCGCGCATGCCCCACCCCCCCCCACCCTCTTGTAATGGATCTCGAGTACCCGAAGCGTGCCCCAACCTGCTACTACGGGCCCCCTCGTCCCAGTTTATTTTAGAACAGTCAACATGTGCAACTTGATTTGTGTGCCGCAACCAAAGAGAGCAGCTTTTACTTTTTTCTCCCAGCGGAAGATTGCTCTTGACGAATTAGGACTGATCGTACCAATTTAAAAGTGGCTTTTTTGTTGTTACAGCTCGCACAGGTTTCTCGAGATGCCTCGGCGTTGCTGTGTTTGTATGCGTTGCTTTTGAGTTCATGGTCGTAGGCACCGCGGGTTTGTAATGACTTTGGGGCGAATATGATTGAACCTCGATGAATTGTGACCATCGCTGCGTCGCATCTTTCTCCGCAAAAGCCATTGGAGGTGGTGACTCGACCCCTTGCTGGTTTGTGTTGCACGTTGCCAGTCGTACACAGAATGTCTAATGCGATTGTTTGGGCTTGGAGAACGATTTTTTTTGAATGCCAAAAGCCTCATCTTAAGCTCTTTGTTTCTAGGTGGGTTAACCACGGGCTTAATGTTTAGTGGATTGTTATCCAAGTTGCCAGTAGCCTCGGATGTAGGCCACAGCTTTTGTGTAAGTTATACTGGATGTGGTGTGCTGTGGGTGCAGAGATATTTTCCAGGTATCTGACCTGAACACTCAGCTAAAAATTAAGCCCTCGTTTTAATCCAGAAGAGCTTCACCAAATAATTTTTTAAACGTATTTTTAAGGGCTTGTCCCTGTTTTGTTCATTACAAAGTTCGCTTTTTCAAATCTAAATTGCATTTTGAAGGAAACTGCTTGGAATAGAATGTGGCACAACAACAAAAATGTGGAGGAAAAAAAAGTGAATTAAGGTTGCGATCAATCTTCATATCTGCAGCACACAACGGGAAGGGGAGTACGCTCAACGATGCAATTCATCGAAAAAGATAAAAGGGAAAGCGTGGAATGGCAGTGCCCATGACAAAGAGATAAGCAGCTGGAAGAAGGAGCGCTGGGGTGGGAAGGGTAACGAGGTGGAGAAGGGATGACTACGCCAAGATGATGGGGATGAGCGTGAGAAGGAGCGAGCAGAAGTGAGCTGCACTGAGCGGCGTCTATTTTCACGGTGGGGGGTGGGCAGGGAGAGGCGAAGAATTCAGAGTGGAGGTGACCGCACAGGTCACGTGATTCACGGCAGGCTGGATCTGATCTCGATACGATGTGTAGATGGGTAGGACGTGCAGGATGGAGAAGGGCAGGTTCAGGGTGGCATTGGAGTGGTACCTACATCTCGATAACCACGGGGGGGGGGGGGGGGGGGGAGGAGACCGAAATGTTGAACGTTTTTACACCATACGTAGCTAACCGTGCTAATCGAAGGTGCGAGAAAGCCAGGGAATGGTCGTGTTGAGGACTGTGTTGACTGTATAACAAGAATAAGAGACATGTTTTATAATGTAAGGGCAGAGCTTTGAAGTCGAATTCTGACTTTGCAACAGCGCGGGTAATTTGTAGACGAAAGGACACGATGGCGAGGTGCGGGTAACGTCGATTGCATTGGCCGTCGTGACCTTTTGGGCCTGACCTTTAGGGCCTGGGGTAGACCAGGCCTGAGGCTTGCAATGAGTCACCTCCACCTGGCGATCGCATTGCAACGATTGGGGTCGCTCTGAGATGCATCGTGATTGGTTTCAGTTACGTGCCGAATGTAACGCCGTCTAGTGGTGGCAGAGGTCATGTAAACACGTGACGTGAAGAGTGATACACAGGTCCATCAACAACAAAGCTTAATATTTCGATTTAAAGCTTTTGTGACTTGCAGGAATTCATATTCTTTGGGTCTTTCGGTAAAGTCACGTAGATAGGTTCAAAGAAAATAACATTTCGATCGCTTGTGTTGCCATCAAAACGTAATATTTTTTTTCATAATTTTATTTAAACCTATTTACGTGAGTAAAAAAATCAAAATTAATAAAAGTAAAATAAAATAAAAATTACGACGTTTCGGCAAGCGTGCTGTGACGGTTCCACCTAAAGACGGAAGCTTGTGTTGCCTCCGAAACGTCGTGATTTTTATTTTATTTTACTTTTATTAATTTAGATTTTTTTTACCTACGTGACTTTACCGAAAAAAACCTAAGAATATGAATACTTGCAGTCACGAAAGCTTCAAATCTAGAACTATCTACGTGACTTTACCGAAAGACCCAAATAATATGAATTCCTGCCATCACGAAAGCTTTAAATCAAGATGTATCTGTAAAAAAAAACCCGTCGAGTATTTCTTACACAACCCATGAGCCACACAACGCCTGATGTCAGTGCATAATTTCAGCGGCGTTGATTCAGGGCAACCCTCTGAACCGGTTTCGACACGCGTGGCCTCATCAGCGGAAGCAGCCTTGCTTGAATGAATGTCGGTGAACTTCCGATTTTAGCGAACAAGGACAACCTCCTTTTACGATACGGGTCACTCGACTTATATAACTCAATGTAACCACTCGAGTCGTTGCGGAGAATATGAATTGCAAAGTAAAAAAACGCAATTTGCCTCCACCACATAACCGGCTCTTCGTATACAAATTCAACTATTTGGTTACACAGCATGTCGAACGCACGCACCCTGTGGAAGTGTACGATTGCAGCAGCTCGGATTCGTACAGATCACGTTGCCGGCAACCTATTTGCTGTACTGTCTGCTCCGTGCACTTTTTGCCGTCCCGGCATTCTAATTCATCATCAGCAAGTCGTGATCTACCCACTGCTGGATGACTGCCTCCCCACGGCGAGGGAGGTTGTTTGGCTATACTTCGCCACGGTGGGCAATGCGGGTTTGTGAAAGTGGGGAAGCTTGCACGCGGCACCATAGAAGTAGAGTACAGCAGTGGATTTAGCTAGAATGCCCGCTACTGTCCACCACGGATAGTCTATCGTCTGAAACAACTAGTCGAGCATGGTCGACACCCATCCAAGCAATCTTCAGGCTTGACCCTAAGTTATAGTAATAGGTTTTACCCTTTCAACTGGTACAAAAACATGACACCTTTATACAAGACAGTGCATATCATTATCATATTCAGAGTTGTTTATTTTTGTTTGCATTTTGACTGCTTGTGTTGTGGTTATTGCAAACATGATGCCTTGTATAAAGGTGTCAGTTTTTGTACCACTCGAAAGGGTAAACACCTATTACTATATTTTGCCACTGGTAAAGGAGATGTCTCATAGTGTAAATGCTTGACCCTTAGTTGTCTGAGATTCGCGGTGATTTGTGTCGTCGGCAATGGCTGTAACAGTAATTCCTAATTAATCACGAGCAACCTTATACTTTTAAACTGTGGTCGCGAATGATCAGCAAAGACTTCAGCGCGCCACACTCAACACTGTCCATGGCAAAGGCTCACGGACCAAAGGGCAGACGTCAATTTCTACTGGGGGGCCAAACTGCCACAGAGCAATACTTGACGGCGCGTGGCTGACAACTTAGAATGACGTATCTCGAGAGTTAGACACGACTGGTGCCTCGCTGTGTAATACGAATCGTCAACAGAAATGGCCCATCCACTGCCGGTTCAATGTCCTTTTATTCACCGTTGCCATCCCTCTCGTGCAGCGGTTCTTAACCTGGTGGTGCGAGACACGGCCAGATATTTTAAAATCCTTTATATTAACCTTCTTCTTGGTTCTTTCGGTAAAGT